TAATCCATCAATCCGTCCGTCCATAATACTGTATTGTAATTTGTGTCTTTGCTCTATCTCTATAATAATAAAACAGGTTGCTCTTATAAATCCATCCCCTTATCATGTAGTGACTGTAAAATGTCAGTTTCAGACATTAAAATATTGTCTTCAAACATAAAGAAGCGATTTCATTTTATTTGCAATCTTTTTTTAATCAGATTAGATAAGCAAAGGGTCTGAAGTTTAGAGAGACTTGTGTCCAGATCCTTACACTAAGCTTTTTAGACACGGTGAGAAAATAAACGATAATGCAATGAATATTAAGAGATAATTTTTTAACTTTAGATTAATGTTGACCCCCTGTATAACATTTTAAAGTAGGCCTATTATGCCCCTCTTTACAACATGTAAAATAAGTCTCTGAAGTTTATAGAGTGTGTATGTGAAGTTTCAGCTCAAAATATCACACAAATGTTTATAACTCTCTTTGAATCTGACCCTTTTATGCTTTTATCCTAATTGTGCCATTTTTGGTGACTGTTTCTTTAAATTCAAATGAGATTGTGCCCTTTTCAAAAGCGGGTGGGGCTAAAAACGCCTGTGTGTCAGCATCGTGACAGATTCAAAAACAACACTAATGTTCTATGCTAATGAAGGATCATTAATGGGCGGGACTTCCCCCCCTCTGATGACACGTATAAAGGGAGAATGTCAATCAAAGTGTGTCAGCAGGCTGTATTTATCAAGTGTGATTGTAAAAATAAAATAAATACAATTTTACCATTAGAAGCTGGTTATAGTTACAGACTGTTATCCAGGACAACTGTTTAAACCCCTTATAAAAGTGATTTTTGCATAATAGCTCCCCTTTAAAACAGAACTTTTGGTGCAATTCAACTTACATTAGATTTTAAGCGAGTTTTCGGATGAATCCTCACATATCCCTGGAGACCAGTTTTCATGGCAAAGCCAGATCTCATCATATAACGGTACCACAACAACAAACACACCGAGAGCAGGACAAGGCAGAGCCAGTAAAACCTCTGAGGACCAAAGAGGATCAGAAACAAGAGACTTTAAGGACAGGACAAGACAATTCGCAATACACAAACTGTACTTAATTATTATAATTATGTTCAAATAACATAAATGAAAATGTATTATACACATAGACTAGGGCTGCATGATATTAGAAAAATCAAGCATTGTGATATATTGTTTATCATTGTGATATATTGCAGTTATGAGACAAATGTCCAGAATAGAGAGAGATTAAGAAGGCAATACCTGGGATTTCATGTCGTATTGAGGTTGAAACTCCCACCCAGGTGCTCAACTGGGGAGGAACGCCACATTTTCCTTCAAATAAATGATAAACACAGAGTTACAAAGACATAACGTCAAATATTCTGTACAATTCTGTGACTGAACTGCAGAAGAAACCTGCTGACAGCATAAACATATCGCGACGGAACAACAGTAAACACAACATGACATCAATACAGCGCTTTATATAATTATTTGACATGTAATTGCACGTTAATGTAGGAAATGTCGTAAAGACTGCAGATAAACACATAATTAGCTATAAGATTAGCCTTCTCACATTTTTCATTGGCACGATGATATTTACGTTCCGACAAGGAAACGCGGAAGTACTTTCGTTCCGCTTCTGAGTGTAATTCTGAATGGAAATAATAATAATAATAATAATAATAATATTAATAATAATAATAATAATAATAATAATAATAATAATAATAATTATTATTATTATTAT